TAGCTCAGGTAATGAAGTTAGCTAGCTTAAGTAATAAAGTTAGTTAGCTTAAGTAATGAAGTTAACTAGCTTAAGTAATGAAGTTAACTAGCTCAGATACTGAAGTTAACTAGCTTAAGTAATGAAGATAACTAGCTCAGATACTGAAGTTAGTTAGCTCAGGTACTGAAGTTAGCTCTGAGTGTTAGCTTTGATGCTAACGTGTTTATATTAAACCAGTTGTTAAAAGCTCTGAAACCTTCTGAGGCTTGTTCTTCTTCACAAAGTCGATAACGAACTGGTGCCTCTGTCTGTGCAGCGCCGGCTTGAATATCGGCTCCATCTTTCCTTCTCACGGGGCCCGGTACCGTCCCACACGTCCTCCGGCCGGTGGGGGGCGCTGTCTCCCACCGTCCACCTGATGCTTTTTCCCGGTGACGTCACTTTTTAAAACCGTCCCGGTGTGCTCCCGGTCGTCGTCTCTTCCGTGTGAACACCACGTGTCACCGTTACACCGAGCGAAGTTCTTCAACTGTTGGTGCGAACGTTCAGCTGGTGTCATGGATGAACCCATCAGATTCTGGTGGTCAGAGGTCAAAGGTCAAGGTCAGTCATCCCCCGAGAACACGTGCTTTGCCTCGTGAACGCCATTTCTCAGGTACACCTGTCAATCACCCAGATCTACATTCTATTTATTATCATCATCATTATTATTATTATCATGACTCGGCCTGAATACCAGTGAAGTTAATGGTTTGGTTTAATCGTGTGTTTGCCCAAATGGTAAAAATGTATTAAATGGCCAAATGTCCCTCAGTGAGGCCTGTAGTGTTTTTAAATTTAACATGCAGGAGTTTGGGATCAAGACCTGAAGCTCTGAGGAGCAAACAGGGTTTGAGTAGTGTTGCTTCTTATGAATAAGAATTCAATTGAATCCAGTATTTTCCTCCTTGTTTTTCTATAAATGTAGGATGAGTCATGTTTTCCATGGACTGAGCAGATAAAAAGCAGTTTTGTGGGAATAGGTGTTTTACATTTTTGCAAAATCATAACTCAAACAACTCCCAGACACAGAGAGAAACTACCCATTGAAGTGTCATTGATATTAAGCCTCCTGCTTCCTCACAGTAACACTGAACATGTGTGAACGATACCTGAATATGACCCAAATGTACAAATCTACTCTCCCTCCAGAAAGAGCGCTGGGATTATATGAACGATGCATAAAGATGAGCGACATGACAGCTCCCGAAAAAAGTGAAGCCAGAAGGTCTCGTCACGTGACTGGCCACATCTCTCCTCCTCCATGTTAATGGGTGGTACATGGACCAAACTCAAGAGTCAAAGCACACGTCAAGTTAATTTTTTATAACTTTGATTTTGTTATTTTATGCTTTAAAAACAGTCATTTAAAAACATCATGATTGGCAGAAACAATAAACACAGACGGTTTTCACAGAGGGGTGTTTTAATGATACACAGATTTTTTGAATTGCTAAAAATAGAAATCTGTTCATAAAATGCAGAGTCAGATTTTACATCTTAAAAGAAAATATACTGCATGGTTTTAAAAATGTTTCTGGATAAATGATCTGTTTATTTGTTTACACCACCTCCTGTTAGTTTCACAATCATCCAGAGAATCTAATAACCTACCTCCATAATAAAACCATTTTTGATAAATATATCATTTCTGCAATACTTTGTTAGACAGCTATGGAGCCAACATGTTGCTATGATACCAGCCACAATTATGAGAATGTATACAAGCTATCGCTAACAAAGATTCGTAAGCATTCAAATCTAAAAGGTGCTCCTCGGGTTTGATCATAATTTATTTGAGACGTGTAAGTCGTACCCCAGAGAGAAGAATTCTGTTATAGCTCTGCAGTTGTAATTACTTTATTTTTTACAGTTTCCCCCTTAAAGTTCTTAGAGATTGAACCGGTAACAAATCTGTTATTGACGCTAAAGAACAGAGAAGACAAACATGCAGTGTAACCAGTGTTGTGGTGTTTCTGCTGAGTTCAGTGTAGATTGATCCGTGCTGTTTCATTAGGAGGCACCGGTGGTTCTGCAGTGTCGGCAGGAGTGGTTGTCTTGGGTGGAATCTTTTTTGGCTGTAACCTCCAGGCAGTAGGTGATTCGGGGCTTAAGATCAGTCTCTCCGTCAAAATCCTCTTCCATGGTTCTCGCCATCACTGACGCGTCACTCTGGTCCTGAATTTTGAGTGTGTCGTCCACTTCACATAAACAGAAACTGCGAAGCTTCAAGATCTGAGTGAGAAAGAAACAGAGAGAGAGAGAGATGAGTGATAAATTAATAGTTGTTGAACAGAGCAGAGGATCCAGTTTTTGCCTTTCGTATATTTAGCACACGCAGCAGCAGATTCTCCAGTCAGACGAGCTGACGACACAGAAATCTAGGCAGTGTTCAGGTGAGCGGCAGGAGTGAGGACATGACGTTCAAATTCCACTGCAGAGTTACACATAGTCCAGATCCTCTGACTCAGTTATTTCCCTGAACGCAGCTCCTGTGATATTTAACCACATTATAGTTACCATTGTTGTGAGTGTCCCGCACATGTCTTCTTCTGCGAGACCCCACTGGACCTGAGGAAGAAGAGAAACGTGAGTTATACATGGAGCAGGAAGTGGAAGTAAATGAAATCGAATATTGTTTAAATTCTGCAGTGGTGGGAGAACTGTAGTTGTTAAGTTCAGTATTTTCTTTCAGTGAGGACCAGTTAAATACTGATGCTTTGTATTGGTATCAGTTTCATGTCCATCCCCAGCTTCATCCCGGTTGCTTAAAACAACACTGTGCAACTTTTCTACATTAGAATAGCAGCTTCAAAAAGAGTTTGGGGGTTCACTGATCTATAAAAGTGAGAACGTCCCTCATCCTGAACATCAGTTGAATATCTCTCCTGTAAAAACTGCCTGAATGAAAACACAGAGACATGTTTGCGTTGCGTCTGACCTGTGATAACTCCGTTGGGGTTGCTCTCTCCCTCAGCGTTGCTCGCCGTCACTTCAGTGGCACTGGAATTGAAGTTCGTCAGCGGGCAGGAGAGCGTTGCGGTGCTGCAAAGCTCGGCGCGGCCTCCTCCCGAGGTATTGTAGACGGTGTACGTGGAGGCAAACACTGACGAGTCCCAGGACAGAACAGCGGACTGTGCGTTGCCGCTGTATCTGACGTTCTGTGGAGGACAGGGGACTGGGACGGACACAGTTTGTGTGTAAATAAGTTGTTTGGGATTTTTAAGTAACACTTTACTTTAAAGAGTAAATCGCAAAGATGTTCATTTGAATAAGAATGAACAAAATAGCAGAACAAGGTATATGGTGTATAGTGAGGACAGTTACCTGTGACCCCAGTGAAGGCAGCGGAAGGTGTGCTGACCCCAGCGGAGTTTCTGGCGCGTACAGTCAGGTTATAAGTTGTGCTGCACGGCATCGGGAACTCAAAGTATCTCCTGGGCAGCCAGTAAGAAGAGACATCCATCACGGCCTGTGGGTCGTCTTGGATTCGACCAGCGATCTCCGCCAGATACTCGACATCAGAGCAGTTGACGCTGTCCCATGACGTCAAGGCCCAGTGATACTGGCCTATTTTCTGCATCCGGACATTCAGAGCAGTCGGAGGACACGGAACTGAGGAGGGAAGAGACAGTTCACACGTTTAACTTCTCCAGGTTGAGGTTCAGCATATTACTTGTGAAATAAATGGGATTAAAACAACACCTCAAGTTACTTTAACACAAATTCTAGTAACATAAGAGTTATAAGTTCATGTTGCAACATTTACCTGCTCCCTCAGTTAGAGGTGAACCGAACGAGCTGTTGCAGAAGCCGTCAGAGGCTTCGACTGAGAAATTGTACATTTCTCCACATTCCAGGTCGTCGAAGGTGCAGGAGAGAGCAGTGCTGTCGCAGTAGATCGCATCTCCTTCCTGAGGCTGCGCACAGCCGTAATAATTCACAGCACCCTCAGAGGCATCCCAGGACAGGACAGCAGAGTTGGTCTCACACTTCATGTCCACTGTGAGACCAGAGGGCTGACAGGGCACTGAGAGGAAAGACAGAGGACTCCGATTCAAACATGAGTCAAAACATTCAGAAACAGCAAAAGAGATTCAGACAAGTAGAAAATACTCATGTCTGACACTCTGGAACGAAAAAGTAAAAATAAAGATTAAATGGTTGTGGGAATTCTTGTTGTTCAGAATACTGCCCTCTCTCAAAATGTTAAAGAAAGTGAGGAGGATCCGTCCCATTAATTTAAAAGCTTTTAGAGTTCATGGACTCGTCTTTGGCCTGAACCTCACCCTTCTACTAAAGGTCAAGAACACAGGTTGAGTAGTTTTTATGAAATCCTGATGAAAGATGTGGAGGACAGTGAAAACACGACCTGCCTGGTGGAGGTGACCAGAAAATATCTCTACCTGATCTGAAGGACGAGGTGCTGGACATGCTGGTGCAGTTGTCTCCGCTGGCCGTGATGCTCAAGCTGTACAACTGACCGCAGTGCAGATCAGCCAGGGTGCAGTTGTTCACGAAGGTGTTGCAGATGGAGACGTGTCCGTCACTTCCTGTGGCTGTGAGCTGGTAGGATGTGGCCACAGGGGAGTGTCCCCACGTCACCGTCACCCCGTTCTCCTCACATGACTGAACCACCGTCACGTTGTCTGGTGCACAAGGTGCTGGAGGGGACAGTGTTCAGTGAGTTTCGATGAGAAGAGTTCATGTGTATGAAGAGAGAAGAGAGAAACTGTGGTTACCTGTTTTAATCTTCTTTGGTGGACTTCTGAGGTTGCTGCACCGGTTAGAGGAAGCTGATACTATGATGCTGTAGTGCATCCCACAGCGGGCCTCCTCGAGGACACAAGAATCGTAGGAGCTGTTACAGGAGATGAGGGATTGGTCGTGACCCTCTGCCGTCACCACGTACAGGGTTGTGTTCACTGTGTTCTCCCATTCAACCAGGATGGTGTCATTGTTGCATTCTATCGCTGCACTGATGGACGTCAGAGCACAAGGACCTAGAGGAGTTGGGCCGCATTAAACACAATGTTAGAAAGTTCTGACTCACTACTGACTCACTACTGTCACCTTTGTGAGCAGACGGAAGATTTAAAGTCTTTGACAACTTTGTGTTTCCGGTATTCAAGTATAAAGTTTATGAAATAGTTCAAATCTCCAAAATGATCCTTGTACCCTTTCAGAAACTGTAATCACCTGTCACCAGCTCAAAGGTGGAGCTGTGATTGCTGCGGCAGTGCTCGTTCATGGCTTTGAGGGAGAGGGTGTAGCGCGTCCCACATTTCAGATCCGGGACCTCGCAAGGAGAGGAGGTGGTCGTGCAGCTGGAGTTGTGTCCGTTCATCTCTTCCGCCAACACAAAATAGCTGAGGGCTCCGTCTGCGTCATCCCAAGTCACCCAGGCTGAGTTTGATATGCAGTCCAGGTGGCTCTCAGGGTTTCTGGGCATGCACGGAGCTGTGGACGGTGATACGGCAACAAATGAGCATGTCTTGAGAAATGTTTAACAATTATATATGATGCAACAGTTGCATGATGGGATTTCTTCCAGTGCTGCTGATGGTGAGTCGGATGCTCTACAATGAAGCAATGGCACCAAACTTACAGATCTTTTATATAAAAAGTATGAAATACACACAGGGTATAAACCTCTCTGAAGCTTTAACGAGTCTGATCCAACATCTGACTGTGAGAAGTTTACCTGAGGAGGTTCTGACCAAAGCGCTCGGCTGGCTTTCACAGTCATCTCTGACGGACAGCACAGTGACGTTGTAGTGCTGTCCACACGGTAGATTGTTCAGGGTGCAAGTCGTGCTGCTTGAGTTACAATAGAGTCTCGCCCCGGTGTTGCTCATCGCCGCCACATGGAAGTACTGGACATCGGGGTTTGGAGACCAAGACACGGTTATGGCTCCTTCAGCACACTGTGCATTAACGGTCACGTTCTGTGGTGCACACGGGGCTGAGGGGGAGACAGAGGGAGAACAGGAAGGTTTTAAACAGGGAAATAGAGGAAAGTACTTTGGGAATCGACCACGCCTCCGAATTAATAAACAATGATAAGGTGCAGTACCTGTCTGCACGTAAGACCTGCTGCTCTCCATGCTTGAACAAGACTCGTCCTGGGCGAACACGCTCACGTTGTAGGTCTGTCCACACTGCAGCTCGTCCAGGTCACAGTGAGTCACGGTGTTGTTACACTCAGTCTGGTGACTTCCGTCTGCGCTGACAGCCACTGCCAGATAGGACACTGCTCCGCTGGCTCGCTCCCACGTCACCGCAGCAGAGTTTGAATGGCACAGCAGAGCGGCCTTGACATAAGTGGGTGTGCAAGGCACTGATGGAGAGAAAGGGTTGGAGGGCTCAAATGAATGAAAGTGATTTAAACAGAAATAAACAACGGCACTCAAACTATAAAAACGTTATTCTTTATATTTTACCTGACTGCAGGTCGAGGTGAGCGACACTGTTGTCACACTCTCCATCCTGAGCTGTCAGTGTCACGTTGTAGAGCTGACCGCAATGCAGGCTGGGTAGCTGACAGCTGGTTTCCGTGCTGTTGCACTCAGTCCTGTGACCGTCGGGCCCGAAGGCTTGCACACTGTAGGAGGACACGCCCTCTTCTTCTTCCCACGACACCACGCCTGTGTCATTACTGCAGAACATCTCCGCTGTTACTCCCTGCGGTGCACACGGCACTGCAGACAAACAGAAGGTTCGGATTAAGTAAAGGTATCAGTAAAGTTCTGATATAATCTGCAATGGCTGATTATCATAGATAAATGAATGATGAATAAAATCTTACATGTGTTGATCTCCACATCAGAGCTTCTAGCACTCGAGCAGGTCTCGTCCGAAGCGTTAACACTGATGGAGTAGTTGAGGCCACACAGCAGGTCGCTGAACAGGCACGTTGTCCCGTTGCTGTTGCAAGTTGATTCATAGCCACCGTTGCCCTGGGCAACTGCGGTGTATGATGACGCCCCTTTGCTTGGCTCCCAAGAGACGGCCACGCCACCGGACTCACAAACCACCCGGGCTTCCACCTGCTGTGGTACACAGGGCACTGAACAGACAGATAGAGGTGTTCAGTGAGAAGCAGCTAAAATCACAAAGAGCCGGACTCAAATATAAAACGTTTCAAAGCTGCAGTTAAAGAAAACTTCAAATTTGTTACGTAGAATTCATCGTGCTGCCAGAACCCAAACAGTTTACTCAGACCGACCTGCTTTCATCTGTGTAATGCCGCTCGCTGACACGTTGCACACGCTGTTATCAGCAATCACAGTGATGTTGTAGGTGCAGCCACACGACAGGTCTGGGAGGATGCAGGACTGCGTGGTTGTCTCGCAGCCGGACTCGTGTCCTTGCATGGAGAAGGCTTGGACGATGTAGGAATCAGCCCCCATGCTGGACTGCCAGTCAACCTGGGCTGTGTTGGTGGAGCAGTCCAGTTCAGCCACAACACCTTCAGGAGGACAAGGCACTGGAAGAGAGAAGGACAAACCATCACTAAGCTATTTGTGATTTAATGTCAGTTTCTTTTACAATGAGCAGGTCAGTTTCAGCCATAGACTTTTAATAAAAATGGACGTCATGACAGTTTAGGTGAAGCCAAACCGTCTCCATTGCCACCTGGTGGCTGACCATAATAAATTCATACAATTTTGCTGTATTTTAAAACCTCACCTGATTCCACCTGCAACCTGGAGCTTGGGGGGCTGTTGCAGTTCTCGTTGGAGGCAACGACAATCACACTATAGCTCTGTCCGCACCGCAGGTTCTGAAGCTCGCAGTTGGTGAAGTTGGAGCTGCAGGTGGAAATATGGCCGCTGGAGGACCGGGCTGTTGCCGTGTACTCCACGGCACCTTCTGCGAAGGCCCAGTCCAGGAGGGCCGAGTTGGTGAAGCAGTCCACAATCACTGAGCCGATGTTGGGTGTGCAGGGAGCTGGGTGAGGGAGGTGAGAAGTGGAGGGTGTGTGGATCAGACTTGGACAAGGCAGTGACATATGAGACAAATAAATCATTATTCCACCTGATTTTACCTGATTTGAACTCTATAAGTGGGCTGGGCAAACTCGAGCAGATATTATCTTTCGCCGTTGTCTGGACCATGTAGGTCTGTCCACACGTCAGGTTGGTCAGAGTGCACGTCAGATCTGAAGTATCACAGGAGGAGAAGTGTCCCTGTGTGCTCTGAGCCAACACCATGTAGGACAGAGCCCCCCTGCTGGCACTCCAGGACACCACAGCTTCATTTTCGGAACAGTCCATCACCACATCCACATCAGCAGGAATACAAGGCACTGGAGAAAGGAGGGAGAGCGTTTTATCCTATTGTGACGAGGAGGATCATTAGATATCAACATGCAGGAAAGTCGATGTGTTTATTTTTAAGGTGTCAGATTCAAAATACATACATAACATAACAACTCATCTTCACTGTCTGTAACGCACCTGACGTCAGGATGTCGACCTCACTGGGGTCAGAGTTGCAATCCCCGTTGGAGGCGATGACGGTGACTGAGTAGTTCTGACCACAGACGAGGTTGGGCATGCCGCACTCGTTGCTGTCAGACCAGCAGGCGATTGACTGGGCATCTTCCATTGTTACCGTGGCGATGTAGAACTCTGCCCCGGCCGAACCGGTCCACGACACCACGGCGATGTTAGAGACACAGTTCACGAAGCTGGAGACGTCAGTGGGTGGGCAGGGCTCTGAGGTAAAGAGGGAGAACAGACTGGATGAGGGGATGGAGCCAACACCAGGGGACATGAGTGGTGCGGTTCACCTCGGACATGTTGCACTACTGTAGTGTTTTGAAATAAATGAGTCACGTTAAAAAAAAAAGGTTTTTCAGGGTATGAGATAAGAATCTACCTGACTTAAGCACTGAGGGCGGACTGGGTTGACTTGTGCACTCAGAGTCCACCGCCTGAACAGACAGGAAGTACTCCTGGCCGCACAGGAACTCGGAGATGAAAGTCCAGGTGTCGTTTGTGCTGAGCTGCACTTTGTGGCCGCCGCTGGTCTCTGCAGTCACGATGTACAACTCTGCAGTTTCACTGGCATTCCAGGTCAGTGATCCCACCTGAGAAACAGATTCGATTTGAATTTGAATTTAGCTACATGACATAAACTCAAACGAACAATATTATAACTTAAGCCACAGGGGGTCTCTCAATAAAAACAATAACAAAAGACCTAGTTTGATGATGTCATAAAGCAGTGTGGAATCATGCTGATAAAAGTATTTACCTTTATCGAGCAGTTCAGAGACGATTCCAAGTTCTGGGGTACACACGGTCCTGGAGACACAAAGACAGAAGTTTACTTTCAGACGGCAAATACAATACAACTCATTACTGATGAACCTGCCCATCATTATGTCAAAACATCTATCCATCGTTTGAAAATCATGTTCACCCATCCGTATTGAGGTGCTGTTGCTTGGCAGGCTGCTGCACATGTAGTCGTTGGCGATGACGTGAACGGTGTACGTCTCTCCACAGTGCAGGTCATCCCAGGTGCAGCTGCTGGTGTTTGTGACACACATGTGTGTGTGGCCGTCCTCTGCCGTCGCAAGGGCCAAGTAGGACTCTGCTCCGTCGCTCAGGGCCCAGCTGACCGAGCCCAGACTGTCCTCACAGCGTGTAAAGCTCTGCACATTCTCGGGGACACAGGGGCCTGAGGAGAAGACGATCTGTTAAAAATCATCGTGAACCCACTGACTGATCCGCACGTTTTATGAGACAAAAAGGTAAATGAGACGTACCTGTCTTGAATTCTTCGGGCAGACTCACGGAGCTGTCACATCGATCATCCTGGGACTTCACGGTGAAGGTAAACAGTTGTCCGCAGGGCAGCTCAGCCTCTATCATTGTCTCATTGGTTTGGAAGGACGTGACGTATCCCAGGTCTCCCGTCGCCGTCACCACGTACACTGATGCTCCTAAAGCTGCCGACCAATCCAACACCACCGTGTCATTGTAACACGACCCATTGACCTTCAGGCCCGTTGGCTGGCAGGGTTCTGATGGAAGAGGAACCAAATACATGATGACTGCGTCAAGAAAATCAAGAAGCTACAGCAACAAAAGAGAATGTGGTCAGTTTTTAGGGTCGCTAATGGTCACGCTAATTAACATATAGGAAAGACGCATAATTTAGTCAACAAACCAACTAAACCAAACACATAATCAATCAAATCCCTCTGGAGTTAATTCACAGGCCTCATACCCGTCTGAATCTCTACAGTGCTGCTGGTTTCACTGAAACACATGTTGTCATATGCAGTCACAGAGAATTCATAGGTCTCCCCGCAATGCAGGTTAGGGAACCGGCAGGTGGAGTTGGTGGAGTTGCACTTCAGTGTTCCCATGCTGCAGGTGGCGGTCGCCAGGTAGAGCTCCACATCTTCTCTTTCCTCCCAGAAGAAGTTGGCCGTGCTCGTCCCACACTGCAGGTCCACTCCGACGCGTACAGGTTTACAGGGGCCTGGACAAGATGTTGCAGTTACAAGAAATAAACCCACGTGGAACTGGAGATAAATGTATTAGTACAGAATAAATTCAGTGGTTCCAGTCACTTCCTCATAAACTATGTGGCTCCACTCACGTGTGGTGAAGGTGACGTTGGTGTGTCCCTCAGTTTGACAGTGGTCGCTGATGGTTGTCAGGCTGACATTATACGTCTGACCACACTGCAGCTCCGTGAGCTCACACCGGTCCTCAGTGGTCTCACACGACGCTCGGTAGCCATCAGCTGCCACGGCAGTCGCTGCGTAGGAGCTGGCTGCGTCGGCCGGGCTCCAGGAGATTTCTGCTGTGCTGTTGTCACAGTCCAAGTCAGCCATCACATTCTCAGCCGCACAGGGAGCTACAGGAAGAAGAGAGAAAATGATTCCAGCTTCATTATGGACTCAGCTGCACTGATCTTAGCTCCAAATCTTAGTTCACGTTATCTCTCAGAGAAAGTAGCCTCCTCTAATGTTTACTAGAAGTTCACTAGAATTCACTTTCATCAAATTGCAGAAGCATGACTTCAGTGTCGAACTGTAAAAATCTGAGTGATGTGATGAGAAGGTTTTGGGGCATCAGGCACGGACAGGATGCTCGTGGGTTCACCATTTTTAAGCTGATTGTTGCTCTATGTCAACAACATGCATTTTCATATTCTCTAATATATTTACTTAAAGTACCAGTACATTATAACAAGATAAACTATGAGGAAAAACTACATGTAAAAAATGTGATAAGGGGGAAATAAGAAAGTACGATACCTGCAACCAGCCAAACGGTGGTGGAAGAACTGCTGTTGAGGGTCTTTCCGGTGGCCATGACGTCGGTGTAGTAGACGACTCCGCAGTGGAGATCTTCTATGTTGCAGAAAGTTTCAGTGGTGTAGCAGTAGAGGGAGTCGCCATTCCGCCCAGCAAGATGGGCCGTGTAGCCCACCGCACCAAAGCTGGTCTCCCACGACACGGTCCCAACGTTGCTCTGACAGTTAACACTGGTCCCCACGTTGTTGGGGGGGCAAGGCTCTGGAGGCAGAGAAAGAGGCAGGAGAGGTTTGACGAGGTTTGGATTCTGTTATTATCTTTAATATATTAAAACTAGAATTACTGGTAGGTAAATGATTCTGAACTTTAAAAGGAATTATCTAAAGGCCAAAAACATTTGACCTCTGATTGCACAAAAGTTTATAAGCAGCGAATCATTACAACCATAATGAAATTATATTCCGGGTATTTGGTATCTGACTTCACTAAATGTTTCCAGATGACTTTTGTCTCTTGACTCTATCACTGCAGACCGATTCAAATGAAGTCCTGAGATCGTTAAGAACAAAGTCAAATACACACAAGAAGTTATATCAACACGTTTTCTCACCTGTTGCAATCTCAACTTGTTCTGTCGAAACGGACACGTCCTGGCACACGTGGTTGTTTGCTGTGACACTGATGTTGTAGACCTGACCACACCCTAAGTTATACAAGGCACAGTAGGTGTCATTCGTCCTGCAGGAGACAGTGAGGCCCTGCTCTGTTACGCCCGCCACTGTGTAGTAACCAGCACCAGCAGACATGTCCCACAGCACCTGGCCGATGGTTATGCTGTACTGAGTGCTGATTTGTTCAGGGATGCACGGCCCTGGAAGAGAAGAAGAAGGACAGATGAAGGACAGACGGTGAGGACGAGTGGGCAGTATGGTTTTAGTCTAAGGGCAGCTACCGACCAGTAACCAGCTGTCCCGTCATGTGACCGATGCTGCTGCAGGTCTGTCCCACAGCTTCGACAGACACGGAGTAGCTCTGCCCACAGCTCAGCCCTTCCAGATCACAGGAGGTGGTGTTGGTGTCACAGGTGTCAACGTGACCTGACGCGGAGACGGCCGACACCATGTACGACTGAGCTCCATCGCTCGGGGACCACACCACCGAGGCCGTCTCCATATAGCAGTCAAACACTGCCCTGATATTTAATGGTTCACAGGGAACTGAATGAAAGAAAGAGGAGATAAGACGACAGTCGTCACTTTAATCTGCTTTAAATTAATTTCACGTTAAAAAAATCAATGACAATCCCGTCACTCCTCTTTCCTACCTGCAGCTGTGTCAACCACGGGAGTGGGCGGGCTGTCGCAGTATCCGTCAGAGGACACCATGAAGACGTGGTAGATCTGCCCGCAGCCGAGTCCCGTCACATTGCAGTAGCTCTCGGTCATGGCCTGGCAGGTTGTGGTCTGACCGCTGCTGTCCTGCACTGTGGCGACGTAGGAGTCAGCTCCTGGACTCTCAGACCAGGACACACTCAGAGAATTGGCTTCACAGTCCACCACGGAGGACATGTTAGCAGGGGTGCATGGCGCTGGTGAGAAGATGTGGACAGAGAGTTTAGTGGAGAAACTAGCTAACTTGGCCTTTCAGGGAAAAAGAGTTTTGCAGGTTGAACAAACAAGATATTATGATGTGTACCGTGTATTTTTATTTTGTGATGTGTATTTTATATTTAGTTGTTTCTTAACAAATGAAAAGTATATTATTATTATTGTTGTTAATATTGTTTTAACTACTAAAACTTTAGAACAGTAGAAATATTGAGCTTCCCCAAAGAATTCTGAAATGTGTTTCTTGTCGCTCTGGATAAGTTTTGTTCCATGTGAAAACTAAATACTAGCAGCACGTGTACACACTTAATAGTTCTAAAGAACTCATGAACACAGGATTCAGCACGTACCCGTCTTGATCTTCACACTTTCACTCGGTTTGCTCTGGCAGTCTATGTCCTCTGCTGTCACAGTAGCGGTGTAGAGTTCTCCACAGTGCAGGCCTGTCAGCTCGCACCGGTTCAGATGGGACATGCACTGTTCTTCGTGACCGTTAGCGTTCACCGCTGTCACTCGGTACAGCTGCCCCCCTTTGCTGTAGTCCCACGACATGGAGGCCACGTTGTCGCTGCAGCTCAGACTGGCTTGAAGGTTCTGAGGAACACACGGTGCTAAGGGAGAGAGGTCGATACAGATATTATTCTTTATTCTCATTTCTTCTCACAGTCTCTGGCACAGACCTGCGTGACATGCACTGTATGTACCACACCTGTCCTGGTGATATCCGCCTCACTCTGGGAGCTGTTGCAGATTCGTCCTTCGGCTCTGACGTGCAGGAAGTAAAATTCTCCACACGGCAGATCAGTGATGTCACAGCCGGTGTCCGATGTGGTGCAGCAGGTGGTGTTTCCATTTATCTCCTCCAGAGTGGCCGTGTACACTACCGCACCGGGAACGGCCGACCAGGAGATGCTGATCGTGGCGTTGTCGCAGCCCAGTGAATTCTGCACGTCCTGAGGGGTGCAGGGAGCTGAGGAAGGAGAACAAAACTGGGTTCCTCATCATGTTTTTATGAACCAATAGAACATAAGTAAACAGAGCAGGTACGGCATTTTATAAAAAAATTTAAAATAATTACGACGAATTCATTAATTTTGTTTGGATGAAACTCTGTTTTCTTGTTCTCTCATATTAATTTCAGTTTATGCTTTTATTATGTGTTTCACTTACCTGTCTCTGTTATGACAGCGTTGCTGGGGGGACTGGAGCACTGCTGGTCGCCGGCCCTCAGAGTCACCGTGAGGTTCTTGCTGCACTTCAGCTGCGGCACAGCACACAGCCCCTCCGATATGACGTTACACTCAAATATCTCCTCGTCGCCCAGGTTGTCTGTCACCGTGGCGACGTAGCCTTCCGCCCCCGCAGACTCCTCGTACATCAGCCAGGTTGTGTTTGTCAGGCAGTCGATCTCCACCTCAGAGATTGTTGGTCCGCAGGGAACTGGGGGCAAACAATAAATACAAACTAATAATAAAACAATGCAGAGGAACATGTATCGATCATTTAAAGGAAATCTAGAATTATTCCATGAAGCAAAAAGCAAGCCTTCACCGTGCACTGTAAAAAAAGTTATTAAGATAAAGAAAATAAAACAACCACAAACAGTTTCAAATCATTAATCAAAGGATTTAATATGATCCGTGCCTGTTGTGATCTCCTGTGTGGGGCTGTCTCTGCCCACACATCCATTCCTGGAAGGTGTGATGGTGACGTTGTACTTTGTCCCGCACTCCAGTGTGCTGAGATCACAGCGGCTGTTTGTGCCGGTGCAGTTGTGTGTATGACCTGTGTTGTTAACCGCTGACACCGTGTACTCGACTCCCGCCGCGCTGTTGTTCCAGGTTACAGACACAACGCCGGTGCTGCAGTTGACAGCGGGCAGGAAGGACGACAGAGGGCACGGAGCTGAGTGGAGAAAGAGGAAGTTGAGGTGACGATAAAAGATTCATTTTATGCAGTTTTTGTCTATTTTTAGATTTGATTTGAAAAACTTCAATTTTTAAAGTATATTCAAAGTTTATACACAGCAGCAAAGTTTGAATAACTTTAAAAGAAACACAGAATTACGTTCACACCGATCTGTGTCCTTCACCTACCTGTGAGGACCTGGACCGTGGGGCTCTGGGAGCTGTTGCAGGCTTCATCTTCAGCCGCCACTGTGACATCATAGGTCAGATCACACTGCATGTTGGGCACCACGCAGTGATGCTTATCTGTTGTGCAGGTGCTGACGTGAACTCCGCCGCTCGCCACGGAGGCACGGAACTTTACAAAGTGACCTGTCGACTGCCAGGTGACATTGAGGACACCTGCAGGACAGTCGAGGTTGTTCTGTATGTTCTGTGGAACACACGGAGCTGAGGAGGGAGAGACAGAGAGCAAAGAGAGTGGTCACAGGTTTGATCCCACCACGGCACCCGAGCTCTTGAGTGGGACATGGGACTGTTCATCACTCACTTGAACTTCAATAAATGCTTCCTTAAAATTGTAAATTATTTAAATACCGACCTGTGCGAATCACTTTAATGTTACTTTTGGCTCCAAAACAGTTTCCATCCGAACCCACAGCATAGACCTGGTACTGCTGTCCACAGAGCAGACTGGGTATCTGGCAGCTGGTGCTGCTGGTGTTGCAGGACCACCGGTGGCCCTGTGCATCCACCGCCACAGCCATGTAGGAGAAGGAGCCCTGCGAGGCCTGCCACGACACCACCACATTGTTTGATCGGCAGGAAGAGTTGACCATGAGGTCGGTGGGGGGGCAGGGAGCTGAGGGAACAGGAGACGATCGGTCAGTCGGATCAAAGCACTGGATAATACTTCAAGTTCATAACAAGATAAAATAATAACATAAAAGTGGCAGAAACCATTAAGTGATTTATAAACAACAGGTTAAAAGTAGTGATTAGGAAAAAAGTAAGTTCAAATAGTTATTGAAAAATATTCTCCAGCTAAAAGTAAGAGAAAAAGTCAGATGGGTGATATTTCTTTTACAAATTAAAACTCAACAAGTTATTTTTAGAAATCACTGAACTCTTCACATCTCACCTGTGTTGATTATGTGCCAGTCCAGGCCCGGGCTGAGGCAGTTCTGTCCCTGTCCGCTGACGCTCACCTTGTAGCTCTCCCCACAGTGCAGAGACGTGATGTTACAGGAGTTACCGCTGGTGGAGCAGGTCTGCTTATGTGCGATGTTGAAGGCATCGGCTGAGGCGTTGTAGTACATTATGCCGCTGCCGGGCGTCCAGGACACCAGGGCTGTGTTGGTGTTGCAGTCCAGAGTTGCCTCCAGAGCACTGTGGGGACAAGGACCTGGGCAGGGAGGGAGAGGTCAATACATAGAGAGGGTCAAGTGTTGAGCAGATATGTACTGTGTGTTCAGATCCTCAAATTCAGTTGATTCCTGCTTGGATTTTAAAAGGACCTTAAGAGATCTTGGCTTCTTACTTTTAATACAAATCACAATCTTTGTTGGGCTTGTTATTGAGAACGACAGCGGGCACATTGCAATTTCTACACCGAATAAATGCTGGATATTGTGATAACTGTGTTTTTCTTACCTGTAGTGGTCGTGATGTTCTCGCTGACCAAACTGACGCAGGAGTCGTGCCGAGCCACCGCAGTGATGTTGTAGTCCTGGCCACATGCCAGGTTAGGGAAGTTGCAGTTGGTGTCTGTGCTGGTGCACTCAGCATCGTGGCCGAGGCTGCCCCGAGCGTAAACCGTGTAAGATGTGGCGCCACGTGCAGAGTCCCACATGACCACGGTGATGCCGGTCAGACAGTCCCCTTGTTCTGTGAGGTGGGTGGGAACACACGGAGCTGGAGGAGGAGATGAAGGAGTAAGTACGTGGCCGGGTCACTGCAGCTCAATGTCTTGTACTGTTTCTATTTAACACAGTTCATTCCTGCATCACTCAAACTTGTGGTCGACATAAAGACGACTCTAAGTTAGTGTGTTAGTGTCTATATACAAATAAACACGTCAACATTTCTGTTCACAAAGACAAAACAATGGTTTTCAATGATTGTGTGTGCAGGGAGAGATCGACTTCACCTGTTTTGAGCTGTTGTGCAACAGCCGGCTCACTGCTGCAGGAGTTTGTGTGGCCGACCACACTGATAATGTACGTCTCTCCGCAGGTCAGCCGGTCGAACATGCAGACGGAGCCGCTGGAGTTGCAGGTTCTGATCCCTCCTGTGCTGTCGACCGCCGTCACCACCTGAGTCTGGTTTGGACCCGAGTTCCCCCACATCACAGACGCTGAGTTAGTGCTGCACTCCAGGTCCACCGTCACGTTGTCCGGTTTACAGGCGGCTGCAGATTTGGAGGATAAATAAGAGAGACAGAGGGAAGGAGTCACGATAAGGTGCGGAGGGAAGGACAAAGCTTCTGGTGAAGTCGTCGTGATGCAATTAAAAGGCGACGGAAATGAAATGTCTCGTAACCTTGAATAAAACTGTGGATTTCTCTGGGTTTGAATGTTTTGGATAACGAAAGTACTCAAGTGAACAAAGTATATAACGTACTGTCGGTGTAGTATAATATCTTTAATATGCTGTCATTCCAGAAGAAAGGGTTCTGCTACCTGACTGCACGCTGTAGTCGGAGCCCTCAATGGTGCCGCAGTCGACCGACGGTGTCGTGATGACGATGCTGTAGGTGAGGCCACATGTCAGGTTCTTGATGGTGCAGTTTGTGTTGGTTGAGTTACAAGTCGCACGTGTGCCGTCGCTGCCGATGGCGATTGCAGTATAAGACCCAGCATCGCCGATGCTCCCCCTCCACTTCACTGCGAAGGAGTTGACGTTGCAGTCCAGTTCTGCTACCACTCGGTCAGGTAGACAGGGAGCTGTGGGAAGGAAAGGACTCAGATTTAAAACAAAGAGAAATATTCAGAATCCTGATCAGAGTTGCGGGAAGCAGCAGGTTTCATGTACCTGAGGTAAATGTAAAGGTTTCCCCCGCACTGCTGTTGCAGGTCGCACTGGAGGCAACCACAAACGCAGAGTACTGATGTCCACAGTCCAGCTTCACAGAGCAAGTCGTTATGTTGGAAGAACAGGAAACCACGTGACCGTGGGTACCGGTCACTGTGGCCGTGTAGGAGACAGCGTGCATACTCGGCGCCCAGGTCAGCGTTCCCGAATTGGTGCCACACTCGGCAGTGGCAGTGAGATTAGTTGGGGGACACGGAGCTGGAAGAGAGGACGAAAAGGAACGAAGAGAAATACAATAAATCATCTAAGTCAGCTTCTGTAAATCATTACTAATCACTGGGATGGAAGAAAATACTTGTGAGAAAATGTCTCAATGTTTAACTTTAATATCTTC